AAAAGAAAAATGGTGTTTGTGCCGGGTGGTCCTGTTCCTTCTTTTGGCGATATATGTGAGTATCTCAGTCTGTGTTCTCGAGCTTGAGAAGCGTAGTGTTTCCCTGGCAAAGTGGATATTGAGTCCTTTTGGCAAGCTGCTTATTTCAGCACACAGGCTCTGCCTCCCATTTGCTTTGTTAGTCACTACGAAACACGGCCTTGTTCAAAACAGATTGTAGAATCAGAGTGTTTGCTAGCCACACCCACACCTAGGTGTGTGTATAAAACTATTTTTATTCTGGTTGTTTACTCAAAGCTGCTCGGACTGACTGGCCTGTGGCTTTATGAAGGAAACCCATTCTACTTGAAACAGAAGGCCCTACCCTGTCAACCCAGTGAGCCCAGAGGCTTCAGTATCAAATATGAATTTCTGTTTTTGCACATGTAGCAGTTAGCTGCCATTTCGTACTTTGGGTCAGTCACTCATCACCAAATATTTCTTGAATGCCTCTTAAATGTTAGACACTGGGTAAACACCGTGTTAATAATGCACATTCCTACCCTTGAGGTGTTTACACCGTGGTTCTCAGCCTCTCCTCACTGCCACAGCCCTGTGGGATATGACACAGATTGCTGAGTGTTTGGAGTTTATTAAGGTGGCAACTCTCCCCACATGTGGCCACGATAGACTCTGAGATGGAATATGTGGCCTGATAGCATTTTCAAAGTGTTTCTAATGTTAGCTACCTAGTTTTGTGCTTATGTTTTAAGCTTCATTATAGAAAAATTTGATCTTATCTAAAACAGGGAATAGTCCACCACCCAGCATTAACTCACTATCACTCAGTCTACCCTCCACTCATTCCTACCCCTCCAAATGTTGAAACAAATCACACGTATGGTGTTAATTCATCTATACATATCTTAACAGATATCTACAGAAAACAGATTATTTAAAAATTTATCTAAAAAATAATTATTTCTCAATGTCAGACACTTTAGTAACTGTTCATGTTTTCCCAGTTACCTCTTAGGTACAATGCATGCATGTAGAGACATATGTATAGATATGTATGCTTATATATGCACATATAAACAGGTATAAATACATATATCCTTGTGTAAGTTTTAGTGGTTGGTTTATCATTCTTTCCAATAGTGTTAATAAGGTGCCACTAACTAATAGGTTGCCTATCCCCAGCTCTTCTTTCCCACTAGCAGTTTATTTGTTGAAAAACTGAATCATCTGTCTCTTGCTCCTACCTACAGTCTGCCTCTGCTGATTGGACGTTTGATCTAGAGTCCTGATGTGATGCAATTTTGAGATAAATGCATTCACCTACAAACGAAACTCTTCTTTGTCAAGAACACATTGCTACTTTGGAAAGAGGGGTGTGGTGTATCTGTCGGGAGGCTCACAGTTATTGGTTGTCTTTGTTCTTATTAGACATGGATGATTACCCTGGTTCATTACTTTATTATAGGTTGTGAAATGCTGGTATGTATGTAACTTTTGTAATTCCTCTTTTGCTGCACCAGCCAGGATAATTGTATGAGGGAAGAAATGTCTTGATTAACTGTTTATCCTGGGGTACAGTTTATAAAGAAAGAAAAAGCAAATTGCATTCACCAGCATGGAAAGTAGTGAGCTTTCTTCTTAGCATCTTAGTCTAGAAGGGTCTGGCCAGTGTCTGTGTGTGAATGTTTAAGCATCACCAAAAACTCACAGATTTAAATGCATTTTTGGAGGGGGGCTGGAGAGATAGCTCAGCGGTTAAGAGCACTGACTGTTCTTCCAGAGGTCCTGAGTTCAATTCCCGGCAACCACATGGTGGCTCACAACCACCTTGAATGAGATCTGGTGCTCTCTGCTGGCATGCAGGCAGAAGACTGTATGCACAATAAATAAATAAAATTAAAAAAAGAACTAAATGCATTTTGTGCAATCCGTGACAGTTTTGTTGGTGCTCCGAATTTTTCTCCATCTTTGCACAGAGAGAACATCCTTAGACAGGCACCTGAGTCCTGTTGACTGCATCTCAGTTGTCTTTAATAGGTTTTTTTCCCTGTCCAATAGTCTGTGCTTCCCTTGACCCAGATCTGTAATAAGACAGTTCTTTTAAAGTCTTGGTTTTAGTGGGAAATAGAAATTAGATATTGAAGTTTGGGTACAGCATCCTTTGGATGACCAGTATTCCTAGGTTGTTCATTGTTTTGTTATTTCCAGCTTTTTCAGTGAGCAAAACTGAAAGATTCATACATGTGCCACCAGCTTAATAAAAACAATACTGCAACGTCACACTTATATGTGCAGTTCAGATTCAGCACCATTGGATGTTTGCTTAATGGACTCAAACTTGCATCTTTTATTTCCTTAAAGCTACCTGAATATCCTGGCTCTCCTGCAATAATGTAGTGATTTATTTAGCATCTTTTGTAATACTAGTAATTCTCCCAA